GAGATCAGTGCAGATAAATCACACAAAACGACAGTCGGCACCTCGTTACTGTCAGCTTTGTTGTTGGCGTCGTTATGAAAAGTCAATGCAGATGTTTTGTTTTCATTTAATCATAGATTCTTCCTCGTTATTTGAGACTAAAGTTCACAAGTCGGCAGCTTCAACTGGCTTCCTACGCGTTATCCTCGAAGAAACAACTAACTTACAGGCTCAACAAATCCCTAATAGATTAATTTAACACGCTCTCTTTCTGCAAGTTAGATCAGATTATCGATGCCACGCTGTCATTGGAAGTTGGTGGTGGAAGTCCATTAGCTTAGCCTAGCTTAGCATAGGACCATGCTAGCCTGGTAGCATGTCTGGGTTGGCATTTCTGCATTAGCGGGCCCTAAAGTGTTGAAGTCTGAAGGCTCCTGTAACGTTGAACCAATTTAGTGGGAAAAAAAAGTCTCCCAACGTCTTTACAAGTTGACAAGGGAGAAAATCAAATTAAACCAAATTAAAGAATTACAGCTGTGTCAGGAAAAATGATTTTGAGAGTCACCTGGCTGGTGGCTGCAGACATCTGAGCAGGATTTTTAGCAAGTAGCCAAATGCCTTCATGCTGTTAAATGGCAATGAGAGGATGAGAGAAGTTTGCAGTCAGATAATCTCGAACACTCAAATACACCTGCTGGCACAAAACTGCCTTTTAGCATGATTGAAACAAGCAATACTGTATTTAAAGTGACAGCTAATGAGATTTAGAGGAGCTGGTTGGATATTTCGGAGCTAACTCTGTCTCTGGTTTGGGTATGTTGTGTTTTTACATATGTTTAGTTGGGTTTTTTTGGCCACCATTTAGCTCATAATGCACTCTGCACATCGTTAGAACACTGAACAACATCACAGTCCTTTTTCTTGTGCAGCAAAGAAGCTTCTCTTTCAGTTCCTATGTGCGACCGACTCTGGCCTGGTTGTCTCTGGATCTGCATGAAGCTGAGCTCAGATCTGTGTGGCTCAGCAGGAAACCCACTGATTGTGTGAACAGCTCATAACTGTAGAGGGGAGAAAAAAAAAAAGCCTACTTCCTCAAAAACGTCAGCCTTGAAATTGTGCTAAAATCTCGAAGCCAACCCATAAACCCGGTTGAGCGTATGTAACATCCAGCGAAGCCTCAAACCCACGCGAATGCTGCGTTTTTTCAATTTAAGGGAAGTTTTTTTTTTATGTCCATACATCATTAATGTATACGGGGATGCTACCACATTTGGATTCGTCCTGTGGGTGCCGGGAGAGAATTTGCTCAGAGGACCGTGCCGGATTAAAAATACATGTTAACGCACTTCTTGTTTTCATACGTTTAAATGTGAAAACTGCATTTACGGAGATTAAAAAGTAATCGCTTATAAAAAAAACTGCTACGATTCACAATCTGAATAAGAGAGAGACGCTGCAGGCTCATGAGCTGAAATATCAATTATACGAGGCTGCGTGCTGAACTTTCAAAACACTTGAAGATTGATTTCGTCGCTTAGATAAAGGCCGCCTGCCATTACATAATTTTAGATCCTCTCCTTCAGCAGAGCGACTGAATTCTTTGGCGATGCTGCCTGACCTCTTTTTCCCTCCCTTTGATTTGTGAACTCTTTACTCTTGAGCAGCGGCTTAATGAATTATCTGTGATCGGGAGGACATAGCCAGGCGATTTTTGGAGATTTTTTTCCCCCGTCCTGTTCCCGAGATCAAAATGCTTTGTGAGAGCGGACCCATAAAGACCCGCAAACACCGACTGGGAAACCAAATGAGCTCTCACTTGTGTGATGACATGCCCATTTATTTTTAGCAAGCTGAATTTTTGATGGAAACGGAGGCTACAGAAAGTGTTGGAGTAAAAACCTCAGCAAAGTCTTTCTTTTTTTTCTTCTTCCCCCCTTTCAGCTGTGTCCGTCTCAGCTTGTCTTTTGTCTTGATAAGAGAGGAGGCATGCGGGGAACATAAATTATCCATATGAATAATAAATAATAGAGAGTAATGGTTATTTTTTTTGTCATGTGAGAGAATACTTTCACTGATAGGTGCAGTAAAGCGGCTGCTGCTGCCGGAGTGAAAAACCGCTTTTCAGTTCTCGCCCACAATTGTTTGTTTTGGAAACACATCTCAGTGATATAATAAACTTTATTCTCCTGATTGCAATCAATTTATTCTGGACTTCATTACCTGTAATCTGCAAAAATGAGCCATGTGCACTACTTTCTTTCATTGTTGACGTTTCAGCACAAACTTTAGCAGCTAAATGCGCCTTTTTAAAATTATTATTATTGCTTAATACATGAACTCATGGCTCTGCTTTACTTCATGTTTAATGCATATTTTTTTCTCTGGACCTGTAATTAATGCAGCTTCACCACCAAATCGCTCTGAAACACATCTTCCTTCACGCTGCTGTGTCATTCTGGTGTGTGTGATACAATCATAGCTTGTTTTGGTCGACAACATAATTTGAAGTGTAAATGTGATGATGAATTATCAGAATTAAAAATGTCTAATTTCAGTATGTTTTTAGGGCAAACTGTTGGTGTGAAAACCAGTCAGAACTAGAACATTAATAATAACAAGAAATAAACTAATTCTGTTTTTGAGGAAACCGAAATTCTGTAAAAAACAAGAGAAAGTCTTAAAATTTAAAATGATTTTTAATTGAAATACTGATTGCTGGTGTTTAAATCATTCTTAAACAAAGAAGCTAACATTTCGCGAGCTAACAACGATACAAATACTTTTACGTTCGACCTCTTTCTGCAGCGCCCCCTAGTGTGAGCTGCTGGCGCCTACAGTTTGTTTACATGTGAAACATCAATAACACAAACTAAAGGTCTGTATTATTGAAATGCAGGACTTAAAATTATTATCCCCTTCCGAACCTTTAACAATATGTTTTTATGTGCAGATTTTACTAAATTAGAGGCAATCAATTTTAAAAAAGTATTTCAACAGCAAAAAACAGTGACACTTTTAGGTTCACTTTAAAATAAACAATGTGAGCTCAACTTTATTTTATTTCAAAATACATTTTAGATTTGTTGTTCTATATGTTCATAGAGATGGAGATCTTCTGTCACCTCAGTGCTGTGATATTTAAATAAGAACATTACAAAACAATACATTTAAAAAGTACGTAAGTAAATGTAAATATGCAGATATCAGTGGGATTCAGGCTCATGCCAACAGAAAGAGGCTAATTATGTGCAATTAATGTCTTACACAATTACATGTAAATGTCTGCAACTTACTTTTTCAGAATGTTTGTTTCCACTTTTTTCTCTCAGTCGTGACTCGGATCACATAAAAGTCAAAATAATTTTCAATATTTTATTCATCTACTGACGTCTTTGTCGCCCAGTTCAAAGGTGCGTTTATGGGATTGTTTAAGTTTGTTAAAGCAACAACCAAGTTAATTTGGCCTCCAAATACTGGTTTAAGTTAAAGCCATGAGCTCTGAGGATTGTCATGTGAATTTGAAATAAGCTTTCGTGTCACAAAAGCTAAAAAAAAAAAAGAACAAAAGAAAATGTGAAGACGGTTTACTTCCATTAACGTGTAGGAACACAAATAAGCCAGGCTGCGTGTGGTCGAATTAGAGCTGTTGTTTTTCAAACCGCAAAAAAATCTTTAAGAAGAAGCAACACTGGACAAGTACAAAAGAAAAACTTGTGTTCATCTTGTAATTATTCCTTCATGTCAGTTTGTGTTTCGTGCATTCAGCATGTGAAGACAAAGAATTCATGATTCTAACTTATTCATCGCCGACTGAGCGTATTTACTGTCACCTCGAGTGAAAAGTTTCCCAAATTTCACCATTCCCATCAACCTATTGCCATGTGATGCTTCAAAATGTTCATTAAAACAAAGTCTGTGTCTGCCGTGGTGTCGTGTGAATGTGGAAACAGACGTGTTGCAGAATCATGCAGAATTTAAAATGTAAAAATGTACATCGGGGGGCCAATAAAGGCAAAAACCGTCACGAGAAAAAGCTCCCAGTGATCTCAGTCCACTTTGTAACAGCCTGTTTTAGGACTTATTATGCAAAGGGCATTCCTTACTATGTTTTCAAAGAAAGTAAGGGGGCATGATCAATACCGTCTGCATTACCGAATCACTGAAGCTAAGACTGCACGGCCCTCATACGCTATATGTGTGTGTGGCTGCAGTGTTCACATGTGAGAATAACAAATAGTAGATATCAGGAAAGATGGATAACCTGCTCGCTAGTTAGCATTTCATTCCATTTTTCATCAAGCACATCTATCCGTGGTTTATGGAAATTAGAAGCTCTGCTCAAACATGTTTTGGAAAATCAGATTGCCTGGGCAGAGCTATCTGTTGTATAATTCATAATGATCCTGGCAGCTGATATAATAAGAGAACTGTTTGAGGAAATTACTCTGAGATAGTTTCAACATCTGCAAAGACCGTCCCCTCCTTCACTGTCACCGTGAAATAATGCAAACGACTCGCCGCGCGGCCCCCGATTAATCAAATGTGCGCCGTCTGCAAATTCCGAGGCGCACGTCTACTTTATGTGACATGCAGAAGAATCTCATACAAACGATTCAATGACAAACCGGCGGGTCATGCTGCTTCCACTGGAGCCCCCCAACACAGATGCATCTACTGTGAGACTCTCGGAATCCGATTTTGGATAAAATCAAACCGCTTTTTCCATCGTAGCGCAGTGGAAAAAATAAATCAAACGTATGTACAAACATCGCTGTCAGTTCATGCGCAACCTCCCGAGTGCTCAGCGCTACGACACCAGAATCTGGGCTACGACCTCGACTCGCCAAACACCACGTCTCCTTTGTTAATCTGCACCGCCGTGGCGAAGGCCGGCGCTTCCTACGGACCACACTGACGCCTAATCTAAATGATGCGCCCAGTGCGGCCTCAGCTATGCCAGTGATCCAGACGCTCCTGGATTCTAGCCGAGGTCACCATTCGCCTCACGATCCGTCCGTCCTTCAAGAGAAGATGTCCTCTTTGTCCACTTCCGGTGAAGCAGGTCTAGAAATGTCAAAGAGAGGCTGCGGGGAGCCGACGCTCGACTTCCTGGCTTTGAGGAGTTGAAGCGCTTCGGTGAGCTGCGCCTCCAGGCCGGACATGCGATTGTTCAGGTTCTTGAGGTCGTCCTTCAGCTCCAGCTTGAGCTCCTGCAGCGAGGCCTGCAGCGTCTGCTCGGGGATGGGGTAGAAGACGTGCCTGGTCTCTGGCGGCTGGGCCGGACTGCGGTCCTGAGGCGTCAGCCGGAAGTCGCCCACTTTGTCCAGACGCAGGTCACTTTTGGTGATGCCGCTGTCGCACGAGTCCGTCTTCTTTAGAGACATCTGCGATTCGTGCACCTTGGTCCGTTCGGGTAAAGTCTCCATGGATTCGGCTTTGGACACTTTGTTCCAGTTGTCGGCTTTGGCCATGGACTCCTTGAAGCGGCCCCAGCCTTTCACTTTGGCCGGTTCAGCAGCTCGGCCTCCCACCAGAGAGATGGGCGACGGCACCTGCAGCTTGGCCTTGTCCGAGGGGCTGCAGTTCGGAGGCGTTGAAGACGAAGGCGTCGAAGAAGAGGGCGTCGCTGGGCTTTCTGTTACCGTGACGATGCTGGTGGTTGTGATGGCCGCTTTAGCCAGCGGGACGTCCACGTAGACGGGGCCCTTCTCGATGTCCTGCTCGTCCAGTTCTGGTTTGGCCAGACGGGCCTCCTTCTGCTGTCGGAAGCGCTGGAAGAGTTTACGAACCGGGTGATCTGGCGGCAGGTTCAGAGGGGCTTCGTTTTTACGCCTCTGTCGCTCCTCTTCCTCCCGTTTGACATCGCTGATCTTTCGGAAGACGATCTGCAAGAGAATTTAAAGTCCTTGTGACTAAAACACCACAATGATGAGCATCAGAGTGATCAAAAACATGAGCACACGAGCAAGAGGAGTCTCCGAGGTGAACAAATTATCACATAAAACCAGATCCAGCTCAGTTTCAGTGTCTGTCTTACTGGTTGTACACTTTGTGTTCTTTGTAAATGTCACTGAAAGATGCTATTCCCACGACACAGAGGGTAAAGTTCACATCCAGCCTCTGGCTTCACAAGGTGAAGACACACTGATAGCTTCCCGCCCAGCTGCTGCTGCTGCTAACGGAGAGCCGTGTTCACATCGTCTTGTATCTTAAAGCTTTAACAGATTTCTCTCTTTGTGCTGCAATGTGATCAATCAGTCCAAACTTTATTTATCAATCAAATATACACGAGCAATTACTTTACAAGCTACTGAAAAAAAAGGATGTTAAAATAGATTCAGAGACTAATGCACACCACAGCAACTAAACTAAAGATGGATGGATAAGATAAAAATGAATTAATAAAAGATAATACAAGCAAGAGAAATAATACTAGAAATAATACACATCACATACATCGATTATATTAGAACAAAAATGCTCAATAAAATAAATAACAATGAGAAAAAAGTAAAAACAGAACAGATCTACTTGATTTTTTTTAAATATCAGTATTTTCGTCTCCTCTCACATCATCTGGGAGGCTGTTCATACAGTTTGGAGAGTAAAATCATCTCCCAGTGTTTTCGTTCTGCTTTGTGAAACAGCTAAAAGAAAACAACTGGAGGCTCTGAGGTACTGGTTCACAAACCACAAGTATGTCTGAGCTGTAGCCTGGTGCAAGGCCATGTAGTGGCGTATCGACCAATAGAAGAATTTAAAAGTCAAATCTAACAGATAACCAGTTTTAAGACTTTAAAATCAGGCAACTGCAGGATTTTAAGTAAATGTTCTGCTCTGCTAGTTTCACCGTCAGTTTCTTTGTTGAAAAGCCGATTACAGTGAGAGCAGTTACATTTAAAATCTATATGATGGATTTCCACATGTTGAGCTGCTACTTTTATTGTGAAAGTTTAATAATAAAGTCGCTGGAGAGGCACGACTTTACCTTAAAACCTTATTTAAACTGTTAGATGCTAATGAAGTCTTTTTTTTAAAGTATGAAAATCGTTCTTGATCTTAGAAATATTCCGACAAAACGTTCGTAACTCAGGGTCCACTCCTGTGTGATGCTCCTCTATGAAGTCCACCCCATGGGTTGTTTACTGCTGCATAATGAGGAGACTCTAATATTTGCACAACCAAACGATGCACCGTACAAATTCCAAACTGTCGCGTTTCATTCTCCGAGTTTTTTATCATCTGCAATTTCCTCGATGCCGAGCGTGACGACGAAACTCAATAAGCTCGAAGTGATTCATCACTTTGGAGAAGCGAAAACAGAATCAGTTTTTCCTTCTCACGGCTCTCGCCACGTTGGACCACTTGAATTCATATCGTCTGCCGGAATACCTCAAGTCAAAAACGCAATCTCTGCGGCTCCATTTGAAGCCGGCGTTCGGCTCCTCGCTCAGTCCATCCCTGGATTTCCCTGCTGTATGTGCCGAGGAAGTATGGGACCCTGGCGAATACCAGCTTTAATGCAGCGGATGAGATTGCCTCTTCATATGCAGCCATTTCAATCTCGCCTGCACTCTCCTGGGCAGCCTAACCTTATTATGAATGAGGTAATGATTGGTAGCTACACTTGTGTTGTTGATCACAGCTGTTCGTCTCTGAATGAAGGACGGCAGAGTGGCTTTAATATATGGCTGCTGCTTAATGGAGCTTTTGTATTAGATGCAGTGTTGTGTTGTTTAGTCGTGTATAGGCCCTGACTGACTGCACAGGTATGTGTTGTCTTTTAAAATGCTGCAGTCGAGCAAAGACATATTTTCTAAAGGATTTTTATGTGTGTGATGAAAAAGGGGGATAGCTAAAGGAACAGTTCACCTTCTTGCCAAGAGTTCAATCAGAACATTTCTCTCATATCTCTGATTGATGCAAAGCTACAACCAGGACAGAGGTAGTTTATCTGGAACCCTAACCCACTCAGATCCTCTCTCCTGGTGTTTTATCTACAGTAACTTTAGTATATTTAATGAATCCGTGCAAAGTTTTACCTTCATACTATCAATATGTTCACAGTTACAGGCCCTTAAAGCACACAGAGGTGGAAATTTCTCACTTTTTAAAACATTTTTTGACAAAAAACACATTTTTCGTCAAAAAACCTGGAAACTAAAGTGAATCAGAGCACAAACATTGATAAAAATGTGTACAGAAGTGGTTACGTAGCCTAGGTTTTGAGTAACAGCTACAGGCGTCTACATGTTTTGTGAAAAATTCTCCAACTTCTGCATATTTTCAGTCTGTATGCTAAGCTAAGCTAACTGTAGCTTCATATTTAACCAATAGACACACGATTGGTTATAAATAGCCTTGTGTAAATCTCAATATTTCCCAAAAAAACACTTCCTTTTAACATCCCCAGGTGCAATGTACACTGCGTTTGCCAACACTTATTACAACGTGAGCTCTTGGAGATTCAAACTCCTGCTCATGTGATCATGTTTTAAGATGCAGATGTAGAAAAAGTTGATGCATTTTATGCTCTAAGAAGCAGCTCATGTGAAAGGAGCCCTGAATATTGCTTACGAATTTGTCGAAATCCAATCTTTAATTCATATATATATATATATATGTATGAATTGGTTTAGTTCTTTTACAGCAAAATCTATCGTGTTTAAATGATTCAAACCTCACGTCTTGGAGGAACGTTTTTATAAAATATTCACTGCTTAAGACTTCTGTTCAGAGAAATAATAAAACGAACCTTAATACCGCAGGCCGTTGCAGGTTTAAGCATAAGTAATGGACAGCTGCTCTTTTTTTTTCTGCAGATTCTGTGACATGTTCCAGACGTTGTTCTCTCAGTATTTGCACAGCTTTGTTTCGTCCTGCTTCATGTTTACTGAATTCAGAATCTCCTTTCTCCAAACCATGAATTCCTCGCCGCTAGCTAAGACTCAGCACGTGTCGGTGATTGCGATTAACAGACAGCGATTGGTTGTTCTCTGGTCGAGCTTCTCTTCCTTTGATTTAAACATTCAAGTTAAAGCAGCCGCGGGTCGTTAAAGATGTGCCGACCGCCCGCGCAGGCGAATTTATCAAGCGTATTGACATAAGTAAATCTGGCTTGGTTAGAAAGTCTTGATGTCAATTAATCTGCTTAGATAATTAATTGCCTTGGCCCGCTGCGGTCCGAGGAGACACCGGTCGGCTCTCAGCAGATTCACGAGGCCCCTCCTCGGTCAGTGTTTGCTGTGAGCAAATCATTGAAGCTTGCTCTGCTTCCAAAGACTAAAAGGAGGATTAGTTACACTCCGTACAGCAAACCAGGAGGTAGCTGCATGCAAAATACACAACGGTGGTCCATCGAGCTTCAAGCAATGCAACCCACAGTAAAAGTTAAAGGTTATAATGTTCAGCTATTGCTTTAGAAACACGTTGCTTCAGCTGTTAAACTGAAATAATACTGAGACTTTTAGAAGATTCTGTCTGCAGGCGTGTTAAATAAACTGCCAGTTACCACGATTTCATAGAACATTTCTCTAAAATGCTC